TTTTCCTGATAACAAGACCATTTATCAAGCTTATACATACAAACACATGCAAATGCTCCCAATAGGCACAAAGTCTTCCTACACAAGCCAAGATGCGATGCTTCGTTATTCCACTCTCAGGTGTAACATCATCAAGACTGTATCTTGTTGAGCCAAGTTGCTGGCCCATCCCCCAGGGACAAGTTGAAACAATTGGCTTTAGTCAGGTCTGGGTTCTGGGCAAAATGGGCTTATCTTATACCTATGCTCACCCTAAAAATGATGGCTTTATGGACACAAGAGGCCATGTTCTTTTTCTTCCTATTTAAGATCTAAATCTCATATGGAGGGCAATACTCTGGAGAGAGACCACTGTGTTCCACACTTGCCTGATCATCAGTTGCCTGGGCCATTGAAAATTCAGAGTCCCAGGCAACTTCCCAGACCTGCCAAATCAAAATCTCCAGGGCAAGACTTGGACATCTGAATTTTTAACAAACGCCAAGATGGTCTTCACGATGAGGCATGTTTAGAGAAAGCCAAGATAGAACATAGCTCTTCAGGGTTCTGAAATCAAAGACTTTTCAAGAAGTCCAGAAACAGGGGCATGTTAGTCTTCTCAGGCTGCCATAACAAAATACCATAAAATGCTGGCTTAAACAACAGAAACTTATTTTATCACAGTTCTGGGGACTGGAAGTCTGAGCTTAGGGTGCCAGCACGGTCAGGTTCTGGTGAGAACTCTCCTCCAGGCTTGCAAACAGCCACCACCTCACTGTGTGTTCACATGACCCCTTTGTGGACATGTGGAGAGACAGAGAGAGCAAACTCTCTGGATTCTCTTCTTATAAGGACACTAATCCCCTCAGGAAGGCCCCACCCTCATGATCTCATCTAACCCTAATTACCTCCCAAAGGTGCCATCTCCAAATACCATCACAGTGGGGGTCAGGGCTTCAACATGTGAATTTTGGGAGAACACAAACTTTCAGTCCATAGTACAGGGCAATGGGGCTTACTCCCTTCAAAGGGGTAGATTTTTTTGTGGAGCTGGATCTTTGCTTGGGGTTCTGCCTCTGACCAATCTATGTAGGACCGTGTTATGAGAGGCATAGGCAGGAGCAAGCTGTGCACCCATTGGTTTTGGCAACTTACAAGGGACAAAACATGAGGACTTAGAATAATCAAAACAGAAACTAACAAAAGAGAGAAATCAATGTCACCACTATTTTGGATGTTGGTTCAGTTAAGCACTAAATTTAGCTCTGGACCTGCTGATAGCAGATGCATTTGGCCTGAGTTAATTGTCTTTCCTATTTCACACATGTTAAATTCCAGGTAGAGTTCCAGCTTTTACTTACATCTCCTGAAACAGACTGCTCTTCCCAAACTTATGCCCTTTAAAGATGAGAAAAGTCATTGTTTTTTTTTCCCCCCCAGAGCTTAACATTTCATCTCAATGCATTTCGAGCTTATTAGAAAAGCAAAACTAGCTGTACCAGAAATACCCAATGGGGAATCTCTCTCTCTTCGAACGTATACTAGAACCTGATAAGAAAAATAACACATTTTGCAAAATCGGCAGTTGGGGTTTCCTGTAGATCAAAAGAGTTTTTTTACTTTTTAATAATTCAGGTAATCCTGGAGATCCAGCCACTTTCCAGATACTGTTCAGCAATGAAGAACTCAGAAAGTCACTGAGTCCCCAATTCCAAATAAGTTATCCAATTAGATGAGACTTGTTACTCAGTGTCTCTATACCAGCAGGAAGGTGCCCAATGTGGTAGAAATGTCTGGGGTCTCAGGCCCAGCTCTGCCAATAACTAACTGGCTGTGTTCCACTGAGCAATTCTTTTACTCTCTTTGAGCCTGTTTTCATCATTAATTCAACAACTATTTCTTGAACATCTAAAATGTGCCAAGCATTGTATCCAGCTGAAGGGGACAGCCCTGCCCTCAAGAAGACCACCGTCTAGAGACAAGGGAGCTTTCCATTCTGTAATGTAATTGTTAATTTCCTTGTGTGGGTACTTCAGTAGTTTAGCACATAACATAAAAACGTGTGAGTATGTGAAGGAACAAATGAATGATTGAATGAGTGAAGCACAAAGTTGTTTTCTAACCACTTTATTTTATGCCGTTACCACATGGTCCCCTTTCTCTAATAACCTAGGCCCAAGAGATCCATCTCTGACTTGACCTTCCTTAGGCTTTTATCCTCAGGAAATCCTCATTTGTTGGCTGTAATCTGCTCCCTTCATTCTTCCCTTGACACAGTTACCCAGAATCCACCTCCATCACTCATAATACCCCTGAATATTTTCCTAAACTATAAATTCAACAAACATCCACTGAGCACATTATATATGGCAAGCATTGGGCAAACCAAGACGTTGGAGAACGTAGACTCTGGTCCACATATGCCGTGTCTGCGGATGGTGCTTACATGTTCCGTTCACTTTTGCCACGCGGTGTATGTGTCCTTCCTTTGACTTGCCGCTACTGAGACTCCAGCACAGCCAGAATGGCATCATGAGTTTCCTAGAAGAGTCTTATGTCAGCAAATTCTCCCACCTCTCACCTACTACCTGACGCCAGCCCCCCCATACAACAATGTTTAACCCAAATAGCTATTCTTGGTGTAGGAGCAGCTCAAATCTTCCAACCACTAACTAGCCTGCGACTCCCAATGCCGCAGCAAATGCCAGGAGTGCCGCTCTCTCACCTCTACCCTCATATCATTTCCTCTCTGTTATTTGCACAATTATTGACACACCACTGTCTCCAGAAAGTATTGCTTAGAAAATAATGTTTTTAAATAAAATAGCATTTGAATGGCATGTGAAAGTGTAACACCTCTTTTCCATGTTATTTCAGTTAATATCCATGGCAACGCTTGAGGCTCACAGGGGTCAATCACTAGACCACAGGTCATAGAGTCGGTGAAGGGGCAGAGCTGGCAGCTGTGCCCAAGTCTTCTGAGTCGAAAATCCCAGAGCTTGTCCAGAGGGGCCAGATGGTAGCCCATTTGGTCCAGGCCTCACAGTCACAGAAAGCTACAAAGGAAGTCATTAAGTGTTAGCTCCAATAACAAGACACATAAAGTTGAAGAGATACCTCATCAGGATGAAAAGAAGAAAATGTGCCTTGGGCAAGTTTAAATTTGTGTTTTCCTTTTGTAGCATGATTTTGGCATTGTGATTTTTCATGATATTGAGAACCTCAAACAATGAAAGTTGCCCAGGCCTCTCTTAAACAACAGACCTCACTTTTATTTACACAACATTGCTAAAAATGTTGCTTACTTGCTGTCACTTTTCCATCTGGAAATAAAATTGGCTGGATTTTCTTTGATTTATACTTCAGTT